GTGCAGCAAGCTGCCCATCATCTTGGACTTCCCATTTACCTCTCATTTAAAACATTGCATTTTCTGGCCTTTTTGTAATGAGCTTAGCCTGTATCCTGATTAATACAAGATGGCTAAAGTTTTTTCCTCTACAGAAATTGGTATTTATCTACATCTGTCATTCTATGTTTAATAAGCAAATAGCATGTTTGTAAACATTCCAACAATTATAATCTCTTGTTCCAGTTCAGTCAGCCAGCTGGAGAGGGACACTTAACTTGTATAGGTAAGTTCTCAAGTTTTAAACCTTGAAAAATTTCAATTTATATGCTTTCATTTTTTGTATGCTCTGACTTTTGTGTTTCATCAGACTCAAAGGAACAAGCCCCACAACTATTAAGCATTTATATATGTATACATCTTTTTAATTTTTATTAATGATTTGAACTACTTAAAAAAAGAGAGCAAAAGTTAAAAATTAAAGTTATATAATAAAAAGAAAAGAACAAACAAGAGGGTCACTTATAAATAATTAAAATATCATCAGCAGTGCTTAATTCTAAAAAACCACTACATAAAAATTTTATTTAAAAGACCTCATCCAGCTTAAGTTTTTCATATTCTATGTATATACTTTTCAAACGTATAATTTTACCGACATGGTAGTATAATATCTGCATGTAAAAATAAAACAAGAGTCAAATTAAGGTTTCTCTCTTTCCAATTTGTTTCTGTTTCCCCACAAACAAAAGGAATTGGCCAACATCTGGCAAGGTTCTTCATGTTTCTAAATTAATCCTTTGGTTTATGGGCAAATGCAATACTGAAATCTACAAGAAGAAAAAAAGCAAATGTAAATAAGGACCCATCACTTCAGACTTAGTGTCCCAAGATATGTCAGTTATTATCTTGATTTGTTGTTGCTGTTTTCCTTCAACAAAGACACACCACCCAGAAGACTGAGGGTAGCAGGGTGAATTCATTCCATTAATTCATTTTATTGAGTCAGTATAGAAAACTAGTTATGAGTACAGATTTAGCAGTTAGACATGCCTTAGTTTGTATCCTTACTCCACTGATTATTGAGGCTTAGTGTCCTCATCTGTAAAATAAAAATAGTAAATTGCCCCAAAGTACTGGAAAGAATATGCAAGATGAGTTGGAAGCACTTAACACAATGTCTTATCCAGTGTTAGCTGCCAAGTATTTTTCTATTTCCAAAATAAATAATGCTCTCATAACATTATATATATGTATGTATGTATATGTGTGCATGTATACATAAATAAAATATATCCTACTGTATGACAGTTTCTTTTGACATGGATTATTTCTAATTCTCACAGCTCTAATTCTCATAGCTACACTAGCATAGTGGGAGAAGCTGTCTCATTTTACAGGTGGAGAAACTGTGGCTCAGAAAGGTAAAGTGGCGTGCCTATAGTCACACAGTGAATGTGTGACTGAGCCAGAGTGGAAACAGACCCAGCCAACATCAAAGCCTGTGTTCTTTCTACCAAGTGGAGATGGGACACCCTGGGACACACATTCTTATGGCAGTGTGTGCCCCAGAGTGAGAAAAAGAAAGAGAAGGCAAAGCAGCTTTGGAGGTCTCCAAACCTCCCGGTTTAGAATAAATCCCTTAATTATGCTTGAAGTTGGACAAGCTTTTGAAATCTCGCCTGGACATTCTTTCCCCATCAAGTTCCTTGAAATTTCCCTTTAAAGAGCATCTAGGAAAAGCCACTCTCATTAGCCAGGGTCTGGCTTTATTTTCCTAATAAACAGACCTTTGGACAGACAAAAGAGTCTCTTTATTTTCAATCAATTCTTGAACATTTCAGCTGATTTTCTTCTATTTGGCTTGAAATTGTGATCTGGGAATGACTGGTCCTGCAAATTGTCCTCCTATAAGGGAAGCCCCTTGAGGATCCTCAACTTGTTATTTTTAATCACTGTAATCTCTTTTTCAAAGGAGGCCATGGTCAGAAACAGAGCAAGCCTTTCAGAGCTTTCTAAAGCACAATTATTGCAGAGGGAGTGGTATTGAGGGAAAGAGGGAGGGAGGGTAGAGATGTGGTGGGAGAGAGGAGGCAGTCAATATAGTACTAACAACTTGGGAAAAGGCTGAATCATCATCTCAATTGGATCCTGACTGTTGAGAAGAAACCCCATGTTTCTTTTTTTTTTTTAAATAGTGACCATTTTACTCCAGTCTAGAATATCTAAAGGATATGATGAAATGGGAGGGTGGGAGTGGGGGCATGGAGACTGGAAGCTCTGTGGGGATGAACTGGAATCCTGAGGACAAAGGTTTGAGGCCATTGATTCCAAAGATTGAGGGGCTCTAATTCAGTAAAAAAATAAAAAAGCAAACAGAACACCAGGGGAATGTTAATTTCCACAGCCCTAAGTCAATACCCTGAGCAGAATGTATTAGATTTACCTCTAATGCAACTATTCTAAGAAAGTATAAGCCAACAGAAAATGTCACAAACCAGGCCAGTGCCCTTTCTCTTCCTAACTTTGAGTGGCGGAATCAGGTTTGCTAATCCAAAGTACTGACTCAGAAGGCATTAGCCTGGTTCCTGCAAGATCTCTTAGCCACCAGAAAAGAGGTGAGAAATGCCCACCTAGCCTGAGTCTGGCATCACAGTTCAAGACTAACATTGTCTGCTGGCGTAACCTATAAGGTGAAAGTCTAATCCCAGTTTTCACCTGCTGCCCATGGATACTGAGGCCGTCATGGAACCCGTCTGTTCATGTGAATCCCAGATGCATCTCTGTCTCAGTGCTGGGATCCCTCACTGCCAGTGCTCACCCAAACTGGGAAGATTTATGTGGGAAGAGAGACCCAGTAGGACTCTTGGGCTGCAGACTAACCTTGATTATCCCCCAAAGAAATTCTCCTGGTCCTAAACTAGGAATAGTCTTAAGCAAACCTCCTAATATGGAGAAATCATTCATTCATTCAGTTATTTCATGAGCACCAGGTAACTGGCATCCACTGGTAGATTGACTTGAAGGAGTGCTGAGAAAACCTACTTTTAGACACACAGACGCACACGTGGCAGAAACAAAATTGAACCTGACCATGCACATCCCTCAATGATTAAACCGTTTGGGCCTCATAGACAACTCAAACCAATACATACGGGGAACCCACTGTAGCTCAGGCACGCTCATCTTTATGCACTCATTTACTCTCTAAGACCGCCCAGGGTAGCTGGACAAATATCTGATTTCAATAACTGGGAAATAGGATCCGAGAAATTAAAGGACTTGCACAAGGTCACACAGCTACTAAGCCCGGGACGGACTGCAGAGCCACCTCTTTCGCTGCCACGTGGAGCTGGGGCAGTTTTCCCAGGGAACTCAGGTCCTCGGTTTGGGGGAGGGCTGAAGAGACCAGTGGGGTTACGCCCACTTCCCTCCCGTCCACGGAGGGGGCTGGCTGTTTCCCGCTTGGGGGAAGAGGCTGCGACCGCATGTAGGTTCGGCTTGCTGGGCTGCCGGGCCAACCCGCTGCCAGCGCCCTGGGGGCCGGGCCGGGTGTTCTCCACCCCACCCCCAGCCTTCCGCGGAGAGTACCCCCGGCCCCGCCTAGCCGCGCGGGCTTGCAAGGACTGCCCGCCAGGCATGGAGCGCGTCCACAAGCCGACTGCGCTTTGGGTAGCTCCAGGCGGAGAGAATCAGGAACACAAACCCAGGAAAATGGGAGAAGCATTCTGGGAAGGGTGGTCCCTGGTTCTGGTCGCCTGTGTGACCTGGGCTCCAGCTGGCACTACCCCAAACTTTCTCCAATGTTGCCCCCATAGCTTCCTCTCGCGACGCTTAGGAACGGGGAAAGTGGGGATGGAAGGGCGGTGGCTGTGGGCCCGTTTGCCCCACGAGTGCCCCGAAGCCCCTCTCTTCCTTGCTTAGCCCCAGAATTGACTTATGAAAGGGCCCGGGGTGAAGGGACACGTGCACTGTCACTCCCCGCCCGCGGGGCCCCGGGTGAGGCTGGGCAGGCTTCCTTCCCTGCCTGGCGTCCTGGCTCCTGATGGAGAACGGCAGCGAAAAGATGCATGGGGAGCTGACCCGGCTTAAGAGAGGGGCTCTGGGCATGGCGTCAGGGGTCTTCAGGTCTGTGCTGGTCGAGCTGCCTGTGAGGCCCGGGACGCGCTCACTTGCTTTGGACATTCCCTCTCTGCGCTCCGGAAAGCCGGCTGTCAGCTGAGAAGCTTAGAGACCGCTTTTCTGGGGGTACCGAGACTCGGGGTTGCGGGAGCCGCTCTGGCCTCCAGTGAGCAGGCCTCAGGAATCTGGGCTTCCCTTTCGGTCTTGATTGGATTCCCCTCCCTGTTCGAAACTACCTAGAGCTCTCAGTCCACTGGGAGCCTGTCCTAGAAATCCAGGGTCTTCTCCCTCGCCTGGGGCCGTCAAAGAATATTTGGAGTTCTTTCCAGGCAACCCTCCGAAAAGCTTCAGGCTCTTCTCCTCTCCTCTCCCCGCCCTAGGACCAGATAGGGGAGAAGCCCAAGTCCCTTCTCTTGTAGGGATCCGTCCGGGGAAGCTGGAATGACCGTCCCACTGGGGGCTGGTCTGTGAAAAGCTGATTTCCTCTCCTTCAGGAATGGGAGTGGGGAAAGCCGGAGTCACCACCCTGCCTAGGACCCGACTAAAAGAAGCCAGGGTCCCCTCGACCCCAGAGACGGATCTGGAGAAAGGCGAGTCTCCACCAATCTCCTGGAACCGGCCGGGGTAGAAGCCAGGCCAGAGTGACGCGTCGCTCAGCTCCCGCCCACACCCGGGAACCGCTCTTGGGACTTGGGGGCTGCATCTCCTGGCTGCGGCCCCGCGACGGCGCCGGACACTGGCTCGGAGCTAAAAGGATAGGGCATCCAGGACAGAAGGGCCCTCGGCAGGCTGCGCTGGCACCGTGCGCCTGGGAACTGTGCGCCCTCCTCCGGCACCGCGCGGTCGGCGCCCTCCGGGGGCCAGGTCCCGCGCCCCCAACACCGCGGCGGGCCACTTACCGCGGTAGCTGGTTCCCGGCTTATAGAAGTCGGGGTCGCCCTCCACGCGGAGGCGGAACTCGGTGTAGCCCTCGCGCCGCGTGCCCTGGACGCGCAGGATGCGGCTGCAGTAGCCCTCCGACTTGGGCACTTTGTCCAGGGTCTCGTCGGAGAAGGCCAGCGCCACCGCCAGGGGCAGCGCCAGGGCCAGCAGCGCTGGACCCCGACTCAGCCTCAGGAGCACAGGGGACAGCCTCATCCTCGCGGGCCCCCAACTTTGTGCCCTGGCCGCTGGCTGTCTCCACACGACTCCTACCCGAAGGGGTCCCCGCGGAAACGAGACCTGGCAGAGCCCAGGCGGGCAGCGGAGCTCCGAGCTGGTGCTGGCGACCGGGAGACCGTGCTGCCTAGGCTAGGCGGCTGCCGAGCTGCGCTGCGCTGAGCAGAGCCGAGCAAGCCCAGCAGCGCGAGGAAGGGAGGGCGGCGGCGAAGGAGGAGGAGGAGGGAGGGCTGATTTTGCCCAGATCCCCAGCGCAGCGCTGTTTTGTTTCTGAGCTGGCGATTAGCTGCGCGGTGGTGTTTATTTTGCGACGCCGAATTCCCAGGGTCTGACGAGGAAATCATAGGGTCCAGGGACACTGCGGGCTCTGTCCCACCATGAGGCTGCCACCCCAACTCCTGGACCCTGTGGAGGCGGGTGCTCCAAGGAGGGATAGACTGAGAACTAACTTTTGTTGCCTACCTACTCTGTGCCATATTCCAGTGTACGGTCTATACCTCATAAGATAAAGTCAAGCATGTGTCTGCTGATACTTTTTAAGTTGACCTGTCTTTATATGTAGAAACATCTCTTAATAGTAGGCTTCCCTGGTGGCTCAGATGGTAAAGAAACTGCCTGCAACGCAGGAGACCTGTGTTCGATCCCTGGGTGGGGAAGATCTCCTGAAAAAGGAAATGGCGATCCACTCCTGTATTCTTGCCAGGAGAATTCCATTGACAGAGGAGCCTGGCAGGCTACAGTCCTTGGGGTTGCAAAGAGTCAGACCCAGCTAGCGATTATCATTCACCTCTGTGCCTGGCCATATTCTGGGAGGTTTACTTACATCTGCTCACCTTCTCCAGTCTCACTGCACAGAATAAATGTGACATTACTTTCATTCATTTTACAGAGGAGCAAACTGAGGCTTTTGAGCAGTTGAGTCAGGGTCAGATGCCATGGCTATCTGACTTCATTGCCCTTCTTATCACGTGTTGGAACGGGTCAGACTGATGGATGGAAAGGAGCAAGAATGATTCGTCCATTGGCCCCCGTAGGCACAGTGCTATGCCTTGTAATACTTTTGGCGATTCCTGAAAATGTTCTCTTTAAAATCAAAAGAAAAAAAATATTTAGGTCTAATAAAATATTTTACTATATAATACTAATTTATGTTTATTTTGATTTACACAGTCATAAGATATAATGTTTACTGTTGTTTTATGAAGGAAGAAGCCCACAAAGACAAAAGTGCCTAGAGCCCACGGGAGTCCTCATAGAGCTCTGGAAAGAGATTTTGAAGGTTTCAAAGAAAAGCTTGTATTTTCTTGGCTTAGACTTTAGTTCAGGTTCCCAGTCCCCAGTGACAGATGTTTGGAGAGGAGCTGAGCCTGAATGCTTACTGGCCAGAGCCTCAGGCACCAACCCCAAAGCCAGACAGAGAAAGCCAGGTGCAAGAATCTCTCCCAGTGTTTCCTTGGGGACAGACCTGAATCAAGCGTTAGTCCTAGAGCCTATTATACAGAGTGAAGTAAGTCAGATAGAGAAAACAAATATCATGTATTAACACATATATATAAAGAATCTAGAAAAATGGTACTGATGAACCTATTCTCAGGACAGCGATGGAAGCACGGACATAGAGAATAGACTTGTGGACCCACTGGGGGAAGGAGAGAGTGGGGTGAATGGAGAGAGTAACACTGAAGCATACACATTACCAAAAGTAAAACAGCCAGCGGGAGTCTGCTGAATTACACAGGGGGTTCAACCTGGTGCTGTGACAGCCTCGAGGAGTGGAATGGGGCGGGAGGTGGGAAGGAGGTTCAAGAGGGAGGGGACATATATATACACCTACAGCTGATTCATGTTGATGTATGGCAGAAACCAATACAATATTGTAAAGCAATCATCTTCCAATTAAAAATAAAAAAGGAAGCAAACAAAAAATTAGTCCTGCCACTCACCCACTGTGAGACTTGAGCAAGTTAATTTAACCTCTCCAAGTTTCAGATTCTTGCTCAGAAAAGGTACATGTACGCCTGTGGGCTAATATAGCCTTTCTCTAGAGGATGCTAGAGTTAAATGACATTTAACAGTCTCATCATTCAGAAAATCAAGATCATGGCATCCAGTCCCAAGGTAGGAGGAGAAGGGGACAACAGAGGGTGAGAGAGTTGGATGGCATCACCGACTCAATGGACATGAGTTTGAGCAAGCTCCGGGAGTTGGTGTTGGACAGGGAAGCCTGGTGTGCTGTGGTCATGGGGTTGCAGAGTCAAATACGACTGAGCGACTGAACTGAACTGAACTGAGAGTTAAAGAAATGAGGCATGCAAAATACTGGGCCTGACATCCACCCCCAGGCTTAACAGGGGGGTCTGGCCCTGGATATCACACTAACAGAGATCAGGTCTGGCCTGGGGATGCCGGTAATGCTTCTGCCTGCCCTCTGTGCTCAAGCATCCAAAGCACTCTCGGAAGCTTTGGTTAAGCACCCTCTCCTTCCCCTGGGCTGTCAACACACCTCAAGAGCCTGCATTTAAAAAGCAATCTTCTTTGCTTTCCAGGTCAGGTTTTTCTCTTTGACATCACTAACAAACAGCCCAGAGGAGCCACCTGCATCGGAGGCCTCCATTCCTCTTCACCTGCCCCCAGTCCATGTGCTGGACGCTCCCCACCACGGTTAAGAGGGCACCTTCTCTCAGAGGTCCCTTGGCAGACGCCAATTATGCTCTTTTCTCAGCCTGACTCTCCTTGATCCTTAGCAGCACCTGCTCCAGCTAGCAGCCTTCCTTTATGGAGCTGACATTCAAATTCACTTCTGTGTCCTGAGTGAATTATCTCCATTGAGGCTGGACTGGCTCAGGTTTCACGTAGACTCCACGGTGCACAGTCCCGTGCACCCAGCAAGCTGTCCTTGAGTTCAGATTTGGGGCCAACTCTGTGCTAAGTGGGGGACTCCAAAGGGAACAAAAATTCATTCATTCATTCATGTCCAATGTGCTCCATGTGCTCTCTACTGGGACACATGACAAATAAATTACTTGCCTTTGTGGATTTTACAATCTAGGGGAGAGGCAGATATTTTAAATACATAGTTACAGGAATCTTTTCCAATTATAATGGTGATATAACCACTACAAACTAAGTTGTTCAGGAGAGTGTACCCAATCTTATCTCAGAGGACAGGAAACTACCAAAATAAATAAAATGTGGCTCCTGTCTTTGGGGAGCTTATTTTACATCCCATAGCTCAATTACGTGTTCTTGGAAGTCTTTTCATCTAAATCAGCATATTCAAATCTAACATGGAGGTGGGTGGAAATGGAGCAGGGAGGGACAGAACAGTTTAACTTCTCATTCAACATTGACAGGAAAATCACATGAGGTAGGAGGCCCCATCCCCTCTGCTATTTTTCAGATTGTTGTGTAGTCACTAGGTGGTGTCTTACTCTTTTGCAACCCCTTGGACTGTAGCCTCCAGACTCCTCTGTCCATGGGATTTCCCAGGCAAACATACTGGAGTGGGTTGCCATTGCCTGCTCCAGCGGATCTTCCCAACCCAGGAATTGAACCGGGGTCTCCAGCATTGCAGGCAGACTCTTTACCAACTGAGCTATCAGGGAAGCCCCTTACTGTCTGGGTACCATGGCTAATAAGGAAGAAAAGAACCAGGATTCAAAACAATGGGGTTCTTTCCTCTACACAGTGGTGACCCCAGCACTGGGGCTATGACAGCAGGCTCTGAGCAGCCCATGGAGCTGCAGTTCCTCTACTGAAGCTAAACTTCCCTAACCTGGCTCTACTGTCCAGTCAGACCACCATGTGCAGAATCTCTGCACAGATTCAATCCATCAGCAAGTCACTGGTTTCCAATTCCCTCTAAGATGTGTCCATTTTTTGCCATCTCCTCTGGCACCACACCCGTCTGAGTTGTCATCATTGCTCAGCCTCCTAATTGGGCTGCCCATGTCTACTGTTTCTCTCCTCCAGTCCATCTTCTGAACTGAAGTCTGAGTGATCCTTATTAAAATGCAGACTAGAATGTCAATCCCTCAGTTAAAATCCTTTTCCACTGGCTTTTTGGGGCTCTCAAAACAAAGAATCTTGAATGTGGCCTCTGAGGCCCTGCCTGATCTCCCTCTCAAGGCTGTGTGCCCCTGCTCTCATGATCACTGGCCACCGTGACTTTCAGTTTTATGAACTTTTGTCTGTGTGGTTCTGCCTAGAATCCAGTGCTTTCGTCTCTCCCACCCACCATCCTCTCCCAACCAACTTCTACGCATCCTTCAGATCTCAGTGCAAAACTGCTTCCCCAGAGAAGTCCTTCCAGATTTCCCTGAATAGGTCCTGCCCCTCTTTATATGCTCTCCTGGAACTTGATATCTTTCTCTTGATATTCTCATGATTTATAATTATCTTCCCTTCTCCAGGGGATCTTCCCAACCCAGGGATAGAACCTAGGTCTCCCACATTGCAGGCAGATTCTTTACCAGCCACCAACCAGGGAAGTGTTGAGTTATAATCATATGGTCACTTTTATGTTTGACTTTTACATTTGGTGTTTGTTCACTGTCTGTCTCCATCACTAGATTACAGTATCCATAAGGGCAGGGACTGTCTCTGGGGCTCACTACTGTGTCCTCCATGCACATCATGGTGCCTGGCTCCATAAGTATTTTTTCTGTGAATAACAGCCTCCCAGGACCCTCTGATGCAGCCCAAGTTCTTCAAGTGAACTTCGAGGCCCTCCACGATCTGGTCATAGATTCCAGACTGAGCTCTCAGTGCTCCCCAGCTGGATCCCCTGTATTCCCCACTTTCAAAACTGGCAAACTTTGTTTATCGCTTTCCCATCACCTAGGATGTCTTCCCTTCTTCTGCCCACTGAAATTCTCTTCTCCTCCACGGGATGAAGTCTTGCAGTCTCTCCTCCAGAATTCAGTAGAACTTGTGAGAAGAAAGTTTCTTATTTTGACTATTGTGTTCAGTAGATTGTTGTAAACTGTCTCGTATGTCTATGTCTCATCTCCTAGCAATGAATCCAGTTTACTTTCTGTTTAATTTCCTGTTCAGATGTTTCGTTCTGTTGTAAAATACACTGGACTTCAAGAAATCTCTTTCCAGTTTTGTAGCCTAAGGCAGAACTGATGTTAGTTGCTAGGGTGTTGCTAGGGAAAGTCATTTAGCCAGGGCAGATAATTAACTTTATCAGTGTGTGTGGGTAGGTCACAGAAGAGAAGAGCTGGGGGCTCCACTTCTCTAAGAGAAAAAAAAAAAAGAAAAAACTCCTTTGATTCGTAAGAGGTGAGATCAGCCCCTCTTTTTTTCTAAGAGAGAAGGGAAAAAGAAGTTTCTAGATTAT